TTTTTTTTGCCCACCTGAGTGCCCGGCTGAGCTTGTCATAGTTCATTTGGGGTTTGCATTTCCTCCTGCCCCACAGCCTGGCCACCTCGTCGGGGTCTTTGATGACAAACTCTCCATATTCCCCCTGCTGCCAGGCGATGACGTGACGGAACTCCTCCTTCTGCAGCAGCTCCAGGATGAAATGCCACAGCTGGATCTGCCTGGAGCCAGGGCTGGACTCTGTCTTGTAGGCCCACTCTGGGAAATGATAACCTGGAGAAAAAAGCCCAAAAAAAATGGCCCCAAAATCAGACAGATGGAGATGGGAGCGCTGGGTGCTCGGGGTGAGGCGGGGATGGGGTTCTGCTGGGTGGGGATGGTAGATCTGGGGTTTATTATAATGCCATCAAAATGCCATCAAAATGCCACTAAAATAAGTTCCACTAAAGTTCCACTAAAGTTCCACTAAAGTTCCACTAAAGTTCCACCAGTTCCAACAAAATTCCAATAAAATTCCAAAGTCCCACTAAGATTCCACTGAAGTTCCATCAAAATTCCACCAAAATCCCACTAAAATTCCACCAAAGTTCCACTAAAATCCCACCAAACTTCCATCAAAATTCCATCAAAGTCCCACTAAAATGCCACCAGAATCCCACCAAAGTTCCACCCAAATCCCACCCTAATCCCAAAGTCCCACCAAAATTCCATCAAAGTCCCACCAAAATTCCACCAAAATCCTACTACAGTTCCATCAAAATTCCACCAAAGTTCCACTAAAATCCCACCACAATCCCACCCAAATCCCATCAAAATCCCACCAAAGTTCCACCCAAATCCCATCAAAATTCCACCAAAGTTTCACTAAAATTCCACCAAAGTCCCACTAAAATCCCACCACAATCCCACCAAAGTTCCACCCAAATTCCACTAAAATTCCACCAAAGTTCCACCCAAATCCCAAAGTCCCACCAAAGTTCCACCACAATTCCACCAAAATCCCACCAAAGTTCCACCAAAGTCCCACTAAAATTCCACCACAGTTCCACTAAAATCCCACCCAAATCCCACCAAAGTTCCATCAAAATTCCACCAAAGTTCCACTAAAATCCCACCACAATCCCACCCAAATCCCATCAAAATCCCACCAAAGTTCCACCCAAATCCCACCCTAATCCCAAAGTCCCACCAAAATTCCATCAAAGTCCCACCAAAGTTCCACCAAAATCCTACTACAGTTCCATCAAAATTCCACCAACGTGCCACTAAAATTCCACCACAATCCCACCAAAGTTCCACCCAAATCCCATCAAAATTCCACCGAAGTTCCACTAAAATTCCATCAAATTCCCACCAAAATTCCACTAAAATTCCACCAAAGTTCCACCCAAGTCC